CGCCAGTTTTCCATTCTTCGCCAATCCACGCGCGAGTCCGGAGAGGGAACGTACGGAAGCCACAAACGACCCACTCCTCGAATGTTTATGCGCATTGCAAAGAAAAACGCAAGACAACTCGTGAGGTACCGATGAATATTGCTACAGGAAGAAGTGACACTAGGGAGCCACTGCTAGTGGCCCACTAGTATTGAAAAAGGGCGTCTCACGCAAGTGTGGGTGATTTCGGGACGTCCTTCCCACCTTTATCCTGAAAGTTGCTGATTCACGTGTGATGGTGTGGCAGACTGCCACCGGCAGTCGACCGCTCGCTCTGGGAGTGTCGGAAAGTTGTTGATTTGCTCTTTTTTGCCAGGATATTACACTGTCGCGGTGCAAACTGCGGCAGTTTGAAACTGCCTACGGAACGTGTTTCCGTCGGAAATTTTCCGAGCTTCCCAGTTCTATGGTTCTCTAAGTTTTTCGAATTCTATGGTTTCTCCTCATTTCTCTTTTCCACCAATGTGGTGGCACGCATGAATGCACGCATATCCAGAGCCTATGGGTATGCGTGCATTGACCGGTATGGGCGCGTGACCTGTGGTCCATGGGTCTTAAGCTCTGAATGACGTATCCGCATACATCTCTACTAGGCCATCTTGGACGATTCCTGGTTATGGTATCACCGTTTTGTACGAGAGTCAGTACTGGGTGATGACTCACTTAGTGACACTAAGTGACTCTCGCAGGAAGAAATCAAGAGTTACACCCACTCTATCTAGACGCTGGACACGCTCTCATTGCTCATATATAGACATAACGAAGCCACTGCCAGCCGATTGTGGAGGATTTCGATGCAGCGGGCGTCGGTTCTTAGTGCAGTGGTTTATAGAACCGTAAACGCCATGCTCAATCTACGGTAGGTTGCCTACCCAGGGGCGCCACTATCGTGCTGCTGATGCGCCTATGGAATACCGCGCGCAGCGCGGAGCGAAACAATTCATATTGTGCCAAATTTCCGGAAATTTCAGGAAATTTCGACGGAAATTTCGAGGAAAGAATTTGACCCAATTCTTTCCCGATTTGGACAACAATGACATTGTGATTCCGTATTCATGAGTCATGAATACGGAATCTGAATCAACACTTGTGAATCATGGTGTGAGTTGAATCAAAATCGGAAATCAGATAGTGAGTTGAATCAGTGCCTGTGATTCTCGAATCAGTATCCGCATACCGCCCCTGGCCTCAACGCTGAGTCGTGTTGTAGATTTAGTGATGTGGTGGGGTGTGATGATGATGGACTATGTTAATCTCGCTCGCCCGATTGATAGACAACACAAAGCGGCAAGCTTTGGGAAGGACCAATGGCTGGAGCGGCGAGGGGTTTTTGCCGTCAAGTGGTTCGTAAAGGGTGGACATTAGTGCTTCACATGGGTTTTGGTACACTCTGGTCGTCGACCAGTGGTCGAGGACTAGGAAAGAGCGGCAGTGAAAAGTTGGTTAATGCCATCAGTCTCCCTTTGGGGAGGTTGCCGATTAAGCTATAACGTTCCTGCTTGAATGGTCGTAGGATGTTCATTCAGATGTTCCTATTGCTATCTTGTAGCCGCAATAATTTGAGGTCTGCTGCTGGTATGATACCAGTGGTATCACGCATCGATCATAGATCATGACCAGTGCAGGTGTGAACGATTCGTTAGGAGGTGGGGTTCGTTGAGTTAGGGGTTCAAGAAGAGTCTTCCTCGATCAGTGTCGTATTGTTAGTCCACGAATGCGATCCTTCATCTTCGCTGTCTCGTGTGCCGTGGCAGCTGCTACCGAGTTGAGAGGGAGCACCGTCGATCTGTCCGCTATCCAAGAGGAGGGCGCCAACCTCATCTCTATGAACGAGGCTGCCGTCGTTTTCGTCGGTATGTGCTTCATGTATGCCTTGAGGGGTCTCGGTTCTCCTGAGACCGCCACCAAGGGTAACATGGCCGGTGTCATCGGTATGCTCGTTGCTATCATCTTCGCTTGCCTCGACCCTCGCTTCACCCATCACTCTGGTGTTCTTGCTATCATCTGCTTTGTCATCGCTGCCATCTGTGGTCTGTGGCTCTCGTCTAAGGCCACTATGATTGTGATGCCGCAGATGGTCGCCGGCTTCCATGCTAGTGTCGGCTTTGCTGCCGTTATGGTCGCTTACGCGCGTTACTTCGATGCTGAGGAGGTGATGACCGCTGGCCACTTGGTGGAGACTATGATTGGTATCTTCTTCGGTGCCATGACTCTCACTGGTTCCATCGTCGCTTGTGGCAAACTCCAGGGTGTCATTCGTTCGAAGGCCCTCCTTCTTCCTTTCCGTCATTGGATCAACGCTGGTATCTGCCTTGCTTCCATCCTGCTCACCGTTTGGTTGTGCATGGTTGGTAAGGGAACCACTACCGGTATGTGGATCATCATTGCCACCACTATCATCTGCCTCTACCTCGGTTGGGCTCTTGTCATGTCCATCGGCGGTGCTGATATGCCTGTTGTTGTCTCCATGTTGAACTCCTACTCCGGTTGGACTACCGTTGCCTGTGGTTTCATGCTTTCCAACACTATCCTTATCATAGCCGGTTCTCTCATCGGTTCTTCCGGTGCCATCCTTTCTTACATCATGTGCAAGGGTATGAACCGTTCCTTCACCTCGGTCATTCTTGGTGGCTTCGGTGTTGAGGAGGGTCACACTGTTGAGGTCACTGGTACCGCCACTGAGACTAATGTCGATGAGGTTGCGGATAAGATGATCAACGGCAAGTCCGTCATCATCGTTCCTGGTTATGGTATGGCTGTCGCCCGTTGCCAGCAGACTGTCGCTGGTATCGCTGACTGCCTCCGTACTCACGGTGTCAAGGTCCAGTTTGCCATTCACCCTGTCGCTGGTCGTTTGCCGGGTCATATGAACGTGTTGCTCGCTGAGGCTAACGTCCCTTATGATATCGTCAAGGAGATGGACGAAGTCAACCCCGAATTCCCCAACACGGATGTTTCTCTTGTAATCGGTGCCAATGATATCGTCAACCCAATGGCTGTTGAGGACCTTTCTTCTCCCATCGGAGGTATGCCTGTTCTTGAGGTTTGGAAGGCTAAGGTCTGCGTCGTTATGAAGCGTTCAATGGCCACTGGTTACTCTGGTATCGAGAACCCCTTGTTCTATAAGGAGAACACACGTATGCTCTTCGGCAACGCTCACGAGAAGACGCAAGAGTTGCTCGCTGCTCTTCAGGGTCTCGCCAAGCAGAAGAAGGTGACCACCGCCAACGATGCTTCCACTCCTCTTCTCGCAGAGGAAAAGAAGCCCGAGCCCGAAAAGGTCAAGGAATACCCTCCGGCTCTCAAGACGATCGGTGTACTCGATGAAACTAAGAACAGCGATGAGACTCGTGTCGCTATTGCTCCTAATGTTGTATCCAAGTTCCGCGATATGGGCTTCGCCTTCGTCATGGAGCGCAACTGCGGTGAGAAGGCCTCTTTCCCCGATCGCTATTATGCCGTGGAAGGATGCAAGCTTGTCGACACCGCCGAGGAGGTTTACAAGGCCGCTGATGTGATCATCAAGATCAACACCTTGACTGATCAGGACTTCTCCAACCTCCGTCGTGGTCAGGTTGTGGTTACTTACTTGTGGCCGGCCTTCAATCCCGAGTTGCTCAAGACTCTCGCCGCCAAGGGTGTGACCGCAATGTCTGTCGATGCTGTTCCTCGTATTACCCGTGCTCAGAAATTGGATACTCTATCCTCTATGGCCAACATGGGTGGTTACAAGGCTATCATTGAGGCGTTCCATCTCTTGCCTCGTTTCGCCAAGCCTTTGACCACTGCCGCTGGTAGTGTTCCCGCTGCTAATGTCTTCATCATCGGTGCCGGTGTTGCTGGTCTTTCGGCTATCGGAACTGCTCGTTCTCTTGGTGCTTTGGTCACTGCTAACGATACCCGTTCTGTCGTGAAGGAGCAGGTTGAGTCTATGGGTGCCAAGTTCGCCGAGGTACCCTACAAGGAGGAAGGTGCCGGTTCTGGTGGATATGCTAAGGAGATGTCTGAGGGATTCCATAAGGCCCAGATGCAGCTTTATTCTGAGGAGGTCAAGAAGGCTGATGTTGTTGTTACCACCGCTCAGATTCCCGGTAAGCCCGCTCCTCTACTTATCACCAAGGAGATGGTTCGTTCTATGAGGCCCGGCTCTGTGATTGTCGATCTTGCCGCTCAGCAAGGTGGTAATTGCGAGCTCACTCAGAAGGATAAGACGTTCGTTGATCCCGAGAGCGGTGTGACCATCATCGGTCAGACCAACCTTGCTCGCTTCATGCCTGCCCAGGCTTCCGAGCTCTTCAGCGCAAACATGCGTTTCTTGTTCGACCAGATGAAGGGTGCCGCTGGTGTTGATGAGGCCCTCGCTCAACCCGATGATGTCATTGGACCAATCCGTTGCACTTACCACGGACAGGTTACCTGGAAGCCTGTTGCCCGTCCTGCTCCTCCACCGGCCCCCAAGGCCCCTGCCGCCCCCAAGAAGGAGGCTCCTGCCGAGGCCGAGAAGAAGCCCCAGACCGCTTTCTCCAAGTGGCTCAACTTCTTCCTCGTTTTGATTGTTGTCGGTGCTTGTTGTGCTGGTATCGGTGCTAGTCGTAGCGTCGCCTTGGTTGACCAAATGATGTCCTTCGTGATGGCTGTTATTGTTGGTTACTTCCTTGTCTGGGGTGTCGATCACGCCTTGCATACTCCCCTAATGTCCGAGACCAACGCCATCTCTGGTATCATCATCGTTGGTGCCATGCAGCAGCTATCTGCTTGCGGTGCCTTCGCTCAGATTTGTGCCATTTTGGGTACCTTCGCTGCAGGATTCAATATCTTCGGTGGTTTCTGGATCACCAAGCGTATGCTGGCCATGTTCCATCGATAAACGTTGTTCACTCAACTGCTTTATTTAGGCTTTATCTAGTGTAGGTGTCTTGAACTCCTCTTCGGCATTGAGCCTACTGTCATTATTATTCGCATCGACCGAGGAATTGATCAATGTCGAAGTTGTTGACTGGACTACGCTTGGGGGAACTTATTTTTGCACGACCCTATTGGGGCCTCGCTTGATCGTGCTATTGTTGGATGCTTGCGTTTACTAACTTTTCCGGCATAAGTTTCTTGTTCCTTGTGGTCGGAATCCTTCAACCTTATACAATGTGCAAATGTATGTTCTGTTGTGTTTTTGAGAAGTGCGAGGATTACGGACGTTGTAGCGCACGAGCGCTGGAACAGCTGACCTGTTGATGAAACCAGTGGTTTACGAACAGAGAGAGCATGTAAAGCCATCTGCTGATAGAACTTCCCTCCACTGCTCTCCATAGCATGTCTGGACATACAGTAGATCTTGCGGAAGACTAGTTCACTCTTGTCGGTACAGGCATAGACTACATTCATTGATACCGTGCGCGAGTTGATATTCACCGTTCTGGAATAGAGTATTCTTCCACTGATTCTAGCGCTTATCGTGTTCGTCAAGACTACATCTATTCGTGAAAAGCCGGAGACGATCAGAGTGCTAAGGCGTTCCAAGTTTCGAGTCCGACTATTCGGTTACTGATTTCCGTTTTTCGGGAATCACGGATTGAAGTGTGATCCGTCGGGAAAGTCGATTCCTCAAGGCCTTTGCCCGAGAATCCGGACCAGGTCACTTCCCCCGAATTGAAGTGCTCACCACTGATATCTGCTCGGTCTCGAGAAACTCGGACAAGTAAAGCACAGTAAATCTTCAAGTTTTTAGCTTTTTCGACAATTCGGGCTCGGAAATTAGAGTACTTCAGTCGGCTTCAGCAGTCGGAAGATTCGCTGAGAGAAGATACGATAAATGGACAACACAAAGCGGCAAGCTTAGGCAAGCTAGTACCAGTGCTCGTCTCGAAAAGTTCAGTGTTCTGTCTACCTCCTCGATCGTTGGAATCTAGTGTTTGGTTTTTGAGAGGTAGTTAGAAGCTTGAACTACGAGAACTGCTGACTTCATCTTTGTGATGAAGTTGTGGGAGAGTTATGATTCTTGTCGATAGTTTTCGTTTGATAGTATTGATTTTTTAGTCTAGGAATGCGCTTCTCCATATTTGCCGTTTCGTGTGCCGTGGCAGCTGCTACCGAATTGAGAGGGAGCACTGTCGACCTGTCCGCTATCCAAGAGGAGAGCGCCAGCCTCATCTCTCTGAACGAGGCTGCCGTCGTTTTCGTCGGTATGTGCTTCATGTATGCCTTGAGGGGTCTCGGTTCTCCTGAGACCGCCACCAAGGGTAACATGGCCGGTGTCATCGGTATGCTCGTTGCTATCATCTTCGCTTGCCTCGATCCTCGCTTCACCCATCACTCCGGTGTTCTTGCTATCATCTGCTTTGTCATCGCTGCCATCTGTGGTCTGTGGCTCTCGTCTAAGGCCACTATGATTGTGATGCCGCAGATGGTCGCTGGCTTCCATGCTAGTGTCGGTTTTGCTGCCGTTATGGTCGCTTACGCGCGTTACTTCGATGCTGAGGAGGTGATGACCGCTGGCCACTTGGTGGAGACTATGATTGGTATCTTCTTCGGTGCCATGACTCTCACTGGTTCTATCGTCGCTTGTGGCAAACTCCAGGGTGTCATTCGTTCGAAGGCCCTCCTTCTTCCTTTCCGTCATTGGATCAACGCTGGTATCTGCCTTGCTTCCATCCTGCTCACCGTTTGGTTGTGCATGGTTGGTAAGGGAACCACTACCGGTATGTGGATCATCATTGCCACCACTATCATCTGCCTCTACCTCGGTTGGGCTCTTGTCATGTCCATCGGCGGTGCTGATATGCCTGTTGTTGTCTCCATGTTGAACTCCTACTCCGGTTGGACTACCGTTGCCTGTGGTTTCATGCTTTCCAACACTATCCTTATCATAGCCGGTTCTCTCATCGGTTCTTCCGGTGCCATCCTTTCTTACATCATGTGCAAGGGTATGAACCGTTCCTTCACCTCGGTCATTCTTGGTGGCTTCGGTGTTGAGGAGGGTCACACTGTTGAGGTCACTGGTACCGCCACTGAGACTAATGTCGATGAGGTTGCGGATAA